GTATCAACTGTTGAAAATACAGTGCAGCAGTGAACATCAGAGTTGCAACTACACCTAGTCACAGGCTGTACAATAAATGATTGGTTTGGAAATCTAAAGTGAATCTTGCTATTGGAAACACTAATCGTCCAGTCGATGAAATAGTGGGCATGACATCCAGCACCTACCCAAACCTTTAACTGTATGGGTATTTTTTTTTTAGCTTTATAGCTATGAGGCACCAAAATAGAACAGAAAGCCTTATTTCTGCTCCTTCCTTCTCCCTCTGCTTCCTGCTTCCTTCACAAGCAGATAGTATTACTGAATTTACCCCTTAGCTGAAAGTATGGGCTATGGGCAATCCTACTTAGAATCTGCTCGTTGACTATAGCTAGGAACATAAGCATTCTTAATAACTCCACAAACCCAATAAAATTGACCCTCCATTAGTTCTAAAAGTAAGGCCACCAAGACACCTGGCCAGGTAAAGCCTATCAAAGCGTGCTTTAGCTTCCCTTAAGAGAAACAAGGAGAGTTTTAAAGTTGGATGTTGCGGTTTTAAAAGATTACTAAATCAGATGTTTTGAATTACAAATTTACAAATCAGTACTTGTGTGCTTCCTTCAAGTAAGAGGTTGAACAGAAATTAAGTTAAATGCCTTGTGTGTTTGAAGATCATTAAAATTCAGTAGAAGTACACTTTCATATTCATAGAATAGCTGCTTGTAAATGAAAAACAACACATTAGCCCTTTACTTGGGATAAGAATATCATTGTAATTTAGATCATTTTGCTCTACAGCAGACCTAATTTCCCCTCATCTACTTATTCCAAAGATGGTAAAAATGCATTCATTCACATGTTTTAATGCTGAAAGTTAAAATCTGAACATGAAGCTAATTGTGCTTATTCACAAACATAATACAGCCATACCACACACCTGTAAGAGATCTCGTTTATATTAATACCTTACAATAAAAAAATGTCACTAAGTTGCTGAAGATTTTACCTTTCTACGGTGTTTCCTTAAATCACTAGGCTGTTAGATGCATGAAAAGAAAAAAAATTAAAAGAGAAACCTGATTTATTACAGACTTGGAAGCACAAACAAAAAACCAGCATACTAGAAGATTATAGATAGTAATGCTATAGTGTATATCCTAAAGTCTGATATGTCCTTAAATTACTAAATATTTAAACAACATATTGCTTTAAAAAAAAAAAAAAAAGAAGAAAGTCAAGGTTTACAATGGACATACTATAGATGCTTAGCTACGGTGGTCCTTGAGGATAACAATATTTCACCCTCATCAACAAGGCAAGTTAAAATAGAAAAAAAATGAATGAGAAAAACAATTACATTGTTTTACTTATTTTTAAAACAGACAGAATACCAGTTTTGGGGCAAGAACTCTTTTTGCCACATAACCAACTGGTACTCAAGATTAAGATTGAGATCACTAGGTTGTCTGAGTGAGATCCTTAGACTTCACTCACTTCATTCTCAGCTATTTTTGTAGTCATTTTCTTTCCCACACAAAATAGGAACACTGCACTATTAAATTCTGAAGTTTTGAGTGCTGGCACCAATTTTTTCAGTAACAGTTTTTTCAAAGATTAAGGTGTCAGAATGATTGGGTAACAGGCTACCATGACCATGTCTCCTTGCCCCACTAACCTAGTCAAAAACCATTAGGTCCCACTTCAGACCCTCTCCACCTCTGCCAGTACACAGAGCCAAACAAAAATCAAGTAATTCATTAACTTAAACTGAGGGGTAAAATGTTACTTCAATTAATATAATTTAATAAGCAGGTTAATTGTACTTAGGCAGAGAAAAAGAGAAAGAAAAAGAAATTCAGAGACCAAAAATAATCATGAAAAAAATTCAGTTCACCATTTCAAATTAAAAATGTTAAGAAAGGAAGGATTAAAAATAAGCCATTTGCGAAGTTTCATGCACCTCTGCAAGGGTGTGTGCGTGTATGTGTGTGCGTAAACTTTCTCTATATATAGAGAGAGAAAGTTTTCCTTAATCATGTATTAACAAACTGATGAAATTAAATTTCAGAAATTTCATATTAGAAGAAGTTTAAAATCATAGCACAGACTCAATTTACATTTTATTAAAACCAGAAAAATCAGGTGTATAAAACTATAAAATGAACATCATACCAAAGTTCAGATTAAAATTAGACCATGGTATCATTAATGAGACCATCACAAGACTAAGGAAAAAAATTAAAGACTGGTAGCAGGAACATGTTTAAAAAAAAAGCACACCTTCCCAGTTTTAAATCTCAATAAAACAGTACTGAAGGTTTGGTCCCACGACTGAAATAGTCTGCATTCACAAAATTGAAAAACTTGACAATGATAGTAAACTACTGCAACCTTTGTTATATATTTAACACTTGCTAACTATTTTTATAAATACCAAATTATTTTTTTAAAAAGTAAAAAAAAAATCACGTTGAGATGATACTAACATTTCAACCTTACTACTAGTTTGTTTTTTTTTTAAAATTAGCATTTTATTTTTATGCTTTAAAAAATAAAAAACCTCAGCTACTGGGTAAGCAAACAGTTCAAAACTACTACTATACTTTACTACATTAGTGCTTTTAAAATTATGAAGTTGTCATTTCAAACTAAAATCTGTTACTTCTGAACCATATAATCCATGAGATTTCTAGATACTTTAAAACCTAAAACTAAATTGTTCAATAAAGATAGGGGAAAAAAAGAAGAAAAGAAGAACAGCTTGGCAATAAATGCTCTGACCCATTTTCATGGAAACAGATGTTAAACTCATTTTGAATTGGTTTCTGCAAGCACAGGATTTAGACTGGAACCTACTTTGAACTATTTATTCTCCCTCTAAATTGCTGGGTCAAACTTTCACATTTCAGCTCATGTCATAGCTATGCAATTAAAATGTAAATATAAATAGCTTAATTTTAAAGACTATAGGTTACACTTATTTGCACTGTATGTTGAACATTCAACAGAACTGTGGCATTTAAAAGAAAAACTTGTTTCAGGAACCGGAAACTGCACAGAGATAACACTAGAGGGAGATATCAGAGGGAGTACTTTGGTTTATAGGCTTATAGCATTAGAAAAGCAAAGAACCCTAACGTTTTGAAAACAATTTTTGAAGATTAAAAGATAGCAATTTAAAAACTTTATAAAAATGAAAGGACAAAATTGGAAAGAGAAAAATCATAATGTTTATTCCTTCCCTTAGACTGCAGATATTCTGTCTTTGGAAGAAAAAAAAAAATACAGCACTTACCAGTGTCATGATACCTAGTCTGTCTACTTCCCGTGCTGGACTGTGTGGAATCCGTCTTGGTGTGGAGCGACCACTGCCAGGAGGAGAGGAACCAGCAAGGGAACCGCCAGGAAAAGGAGCAGGAATGGAACTCATTGAACGAAATCGACCAAGGTTGTCCAGACTCCCACTACCAACTCGGCTTTCAATTTCCTCGGCCCGCTGCTCTGTATTTTCCTTTTCTTCTTGTATCAATCTATAAATGTTTAAAGACTGGTTGTTTTATTTACTTCCAGGGTTAACTATTTCCTTGTGTAATAAGCTTTATGAAAAAACAATGCAAGATTCAAATAAACAGTCACATATAGGAACAGGGTGGTGGAGAATGATTATTTTCTTTTTTTTACACCTGAGAAAAGATAAGACAGCTGCAATGAGGGAAAGAAACTGATATTCCAGAGGATAGCAATATGACAAAAAAAATGTGACTAACAATAGTTTGCCTAACTATCATTAGTACAATAGTGTTTTTAGGTTTTGTCAAATCAGTAATACTTCACTGGAGGCAACAACAGGGATTGCTGGCTTTCAGGAAAACAACAGTTTAAAGGAAGAACCCCAAAAATTTTTTTAGGCATAACAAACTGGGTTAAAGGAGGAAAGCTGACCATAGAAAGCTGTATAGTAGGACCATTTTTTAATATTTTGCAATACTTCACATAAAAAAAATAAAAAATTAATCAATCAACCAACCAACAAATAAATAAATGCACTAAAAATAACCAAGCAATGGTTTAAAAAGAAAGTCAGGCTTTGTGGCTAGCACATCAGTTCTAAAATTTATTAGATTCAAAGCACTCCTCAGAAAATGCCAGCTCTTAGTTTTCACTTGCCTTTAGACAACAGAAAGATAGAGTAATTCTTTCATTGCAAAAAAACTCAGACCACAACAGGTCAGAATGCTTTTAACACTATGTATTCCCACTTAAAATCTCTGGGTTTATCACATTTGCACACCTAACAATGTTAACTTGTGTGGCATCCACAGTACCCTAGTTGAGAATCACTGGGCTAGAACATTAGACTTCTTCTATAACAGAAAAAACCAGGGCCGGAAGGGTCTCAGGAAGTTATCTAATCCAGCCCTCTGCTCAAGGCAGGATCATGCCTCTCTCAACTAACCTACGCAAGAATGTGTTGAAGCTGTTCTTAACTTTAGGAACAAATCTTTACACACAACAGGGAGGCATGGTGCCAGAAACTTCAAAAACAATTTTTAACTTGCCATAGATAAAGCAGAGGGATAAGAGCACTCGTAGTGTCCTGCCACTGTAAGGACAGGAAGTAGTTGTTAAAATATGCTCAATCTATCCAAGGAAGAAAACCAGGCCCACTGCTAAAGGGGAAGGCAAAAATTCCTATAGTCCATGTCAATTCATGGACAAATCTAACATGCCTCTATGAACCACTTATTTGTAAAGTGTTTCAATGGTCTTGGATGAAAAAAAATTACATTTAAAGTATGTAACAACTATTATTCAACTAATATTTTACCATTAGATAAAACCTCAAGGTCATATTAAAGCAGCAGAAATAAGAGAAAAACATTTTTCAGTATTACTCCATTATGTTCAATTATTTCATCTCTTATAAAGGGGTCTACTTTTGACCCCTTTACAAAACTTTATAAAAACAGTAACAGTTGCTAGAGTTAAGTGTAAGAGAACAGTCAGCCATGCTGGGTGCATCTACATGTGCAATTAACATGACACAAACTCTGCAGACGTTTGAAATGGAGTCCACCACTCCTGGGTGCAACATCTACACATGAGACCAGGACAGCAGCAATTTGAGCTATGACAGAGCACCCCTGGGCTGACAGGGGAAACGGGAAGTCAGCTCTGGGCTCCAGATGGTGGAGGGGCTGGTAGGAGCCAGGGGTCTGGGCCCATGGCTGGCTGGGCTGACCGGGTGCAATTTGCCCTTGGTGGTGAACTTAATAACCTGCTGTAAGACAGTACTGTCTCAGAGCAGAGTGTACTGAATTAATTAATTTACTGAACTCTAATACAGGAATATGTATAGACCAGGGATAGAAAACCCCTGACACAGGTGACAAAGCATGACATGAGAAGGGATTCTGCTTGGCATATGTGCCTTGGGGCGGACAGTGGGGAAAGGGGCCGCAGCTGTGCTGCCACAACATGGATCGGTCCCCTCACGGCTCTGGCACTAACATCTTATGAGTCAAGGTTGTGGGTGTTTTTCGCACTGTGCTTCAAAACCATGGCCAACCCCTGGTATAGACTGTGACACTTTACTGTGGAGCTAATTAGTCTACTCCATGGGAAAGTGCACATGTAGATCCACTGAGCAGTGATTTAGCACACATACATTTAAATTAAGATTAAGCACCACTCAGTTGCTAACAGCATCAGCGACTAATACAACCATCACAACTGAAGTGGTAATTTTCATTTATATGCATCAAAACCATTCTACGAGTCTGGGCATGCATTACCACTTATTTTTTTCATCTCCACAAGAATATTAAAAGTGCAGCAGCTCAGTGCATGAGATCTTTAATTTCTAATTTGAAAGAAACTTAGCCTAATAGTAAATAGTAGGTAAGCCATACCTAATCTCTTTGTTGATTGCATCCAATTGCTCTTGAAGCATCATGGCTAAAGTCTGAGCATCAGCCTGACCACTAGGTGACAAAAGATCGACTGAACTGAATATAGTTTCCCTGTCATCCTCACCATCCGACACATCAACTTCACTCTCAAATGCTTGTGCTACATTTGCCAACACACTTGCTTGCTGTGCTCGTTCCCAGTCCTGTTCATTAAGGGTCTGAACCTGTGAAAAAAGGAGAGACTAAAAATCCAAATCTAATAACGAGAAGGATTTACTATTAATTTTCAAAATGTTAAAATTGGTTTAAAAAAAAGAAGTCAGCACAATTTCACTTACATGCTGCAGATATCCATCCAGATGGCAATATTTAAAGGACAGTAAAAGCAAAACCAATTCTTTAGAAAACTTTGCACACCAACAGTAAGGAGTTACAAGCTTATTCACTTGTAGAACAAAAATGATCGTCAGAAATATTTTCTAGCCAAATGTATCCCAACCAACTCTATCTCAATATTATACATGTTAACTAATTTAATCAGAATCAGACTCTTTAAGAACTGAGTCTTGTTAAATGTTCTTCTGCTTCTTTCTGAACATACTAGACTATTAAATCCTATCACAAACTTTAAAAATGTACACAAATTAAAAAGAAAGTTTCAGACATTTTTCAAATTGTGAATTCAGGTTGTATCTTCTATCGCACTTTTTAAACAATCAATAATGTATCATAGTTTTTTTTCCAGTTGCTTAATTACATTCTGAACACACTCACAATTATATAGTACTGTAGTAAAACAAAGAATCTAGTATAACCAGAACATAAAGACTACTTTTTAATACACTGTATAACATCTTATGCAGCAGTCATTCAATATGTATTCCTACAGAATAAACTTCCTGCAGTTACCCAAGAGATCACTAAACTAAAACAGTTTGCTGACAAAGCATTATTCTTAATGTACCATTACCTTTGAAGGTTCATCTCTGAGAGCAGCCAAACGCCCTTTCTGGGGACGTCTCAACACTGATGAGGTGTTATAGGGATCTGTATGACTGTCGGTCACAGATGAAGGTGGCATTGGATATCTGAAATCTGGTACACTACCCAAATGTTGCCGGCTAAAACATGAATAAAAGGTTCTTTTAGAGATGAGAGAAAGACTAGCCCTGAGTCCTCAGTTTTAAATTTTAGAAGGTAATACTGTAACTAGGAAAAAAAGTTTTTTATGAATGCACCTTATAAAAACTTTTCTGATTACTTCTCTATTTATTATCATTTAAGTTTAGAAAAACTGAATATACTGAAATAATATTCTTATCAAATGGATCTACCTATGATGAAGGGAAGTGGCTCTGATTCTCATTTGGTCATTTTCTGTCCTCATTGTTTCTATATTTAGTACCAACTGATCCTGCAAAGAGAAGAACAGACGGAAGTCAGGAATGTTTGTTTGAAACAGCTTTGCCATTACATTAATTTAGAAAAACATGCATCTTAAAGTCCCTAAGAACGTTTCACAAAGTTCAATGATTACCTTATCAATGCTTCCGACTCTGCTCCTCAATGAAGTGTTATCTCTGAAAACTTCTTATATTCTTAGTGGTAACCCATTACATCACCACCATTAGTCAACCAACAACAGAAACATTATCTGAAGAGGTGGGATAACCAAGATGTCTTTATATGATTACTTTAGGTACTTTTTGTTTGTTTATTTAAACTGAAACTGCTGAATAAGATATGATCCACATGTAATTTACATTTTGCTTAGATCATGGTGTCAAACGCATATGGCCCTATGAGCCAGACTCACAGATTGTTAGGGGCTGGAAGGGACCTTGTAGATCATCGGGTCCAGTCCCCCTGCACTAGGCAGGAAAAGACAACTGGGGTCAAGTGCCCCCAGCGAGGTGACTGTCCACTCTCCTTTTGAAGATTTCCAGGGTAGGTGACTGTACCACCTCTGCAGGAAGTTTATTCCATAGTCTGGACACCCTGACTGTGAAGGAGTTTTTCCTGGAACTGAGCCTGAAGCAGCTTTCCTGAAGTTTATATTCACTGCTCCTGGTCTTTACCGGGGTGCCCTGGTGAACAGCCATTCACCGACTTCTTGATGTACTCCCCTGATGTAGTGGTAAGCTACTACCAAGTCCCTCTCAGCCTTCTCTTCTGTACGCTGAAGAGGCCCAAGTCCCTCAGCCTCTCCTTGTCTGGCTTGTCTTGGAAGTCCCTGATCATATGGGTGGCTCTTCTCTGGACCATCTCAAGTTTTTCCACATCCTTGTTGAAGTGCAGCATCCATAACTGGATGCAGTAATCCAGCTGCGATCTCACCAGTGCAGAGTATAGTGGGAGTATCGCTTCCTTAGCTTTGCATGAGATGTAACGGTTAATGCATGCCAGTGTGTTGTATGCCCTGCTGGCCACAGCATTGCAATGCCAGCTCATGTTCATGCGATGGTTGATCAGATTAGTGTCCCTGAGCCTGTCTGCAAGCTGGACCGAAACAAACCCTCCATGAAATGGCCACAGCGTCATGTCTAGTCCATGCGCTGTGCAGCCAGTCCATTCCTGTGCACCATGTGCTGCATGCACTTGGCCCAGGACTCACTGTGTACATGGCACAAGAGGTTCAGGGAACAGGCTGCATGGTGTCCTGGACCACCTGCCCGTGCTGTCTGCAGCACAAGCACCGTGGAGTCCAGCACACAAACCACATGCAGTGCCAAGACTGGCACATGGGGTTGGTCCAGTGACCCACAGACCAGCTTCATGGGCTGGATATCATGCCTGTACTGATTGGTTCTTTATTGTTCAAGAAAATCCCATGCTCCTGGGAAATGCTCTGTGTGTAGGCCCAGGACATGGGAAGACTGTAAAACCCAGGTCCAATTTTCATAGATACCATCTCTGACAAACACCTGAAACTCTGAGAGATGCCATATATCCTCCAACACAGGGCCTTTGCAGGGACTCTTCATCTCCCCAGCTCCAAAGTCACAGCTCTAAGACCGGCTTTCGAGGAGGTCTGCTGAGGCCCAGGAAGCTGCAGGACAAGAGACTTGAGATATCTTGCCTAAGAGGACCCTGGGAAAAGTTCTGTCATCCCACAGGTCCCGTGTGCCAGATCCTTCAAAAACCGGATGTGCAACCCAGTTATACATCATTTTCTACCATCCCTGGCTTGCAGACACCCTGGGATCAGGGAATTTCTCCTGGACCCCAGCACACTGGGGCCTTAAAAAAAATAAAATAAAAAACAAACAGGTGTGCAGGTAGGCTGCACGTGAGCTTTTCTGACATTAGGGTGCACAGGGCTCTGGCGCTGGTCGCAGTGAGATTATGGGCCTGGGACTCGCAATCTGTGGATGGCCACTACCAACTAGAGTCTCAAACTAGCTCTGGTGTGGTCCCAGGCTCAGACCAACTCCTAGCTGATGGTCAGTCACAGCTCCAGGACCACACTGTTTCCTATGAGGCTGTGGGCACTCAGCTATCTATTTGCCAATGCAGAGAGAGCCCAGGATCATGATCCCAGGCTCCGCCTGCAATGACAAGCAGTTTGGACCTGATTCCCAATCGCAAAAAAAAAAAAATTGCATGTCCCACCATGTAAGTATGGCATGGCAGGAGGCATGATTGTTGGGACTGGGGATTAGATCTAAATTATGCCATTAAATAAACATGTGCCAAGTGCCTAAGTAGCTGCTGGGGGGTGGAGAAAGAGGGGACTGACAGACGGACAATGGGATTGAGTCCCTGGCCTGAAAAGAGGAATGAATAATAACAATAGTAATGCCCCAAGAAACCTAGACTGTTTAAACAGCATGCTATGCAAAACTAGAAAGTTACCTGCGAGACAACCTCACATCCTATACCAATATGTTCCAGTGGAATAGTTACACTTTGATATGAAAATTTAATAGTACCTTTTCATGTTGAAGTTCATCTATTTGTTTCTTTGCATTTTCAATATCTCGAAGAAGAGAGTTCTAAAATAAAATTTATTGAATGAGTTAGGTTACTGTTAAGTCATAACAAATTTATAAGGATTAAGAATAGTTAAATTCTGAAAAATGACTATGTCTACTTTATAAGAAGTAACTGCAACAGCTTGAGTCTCATCTACTGAAACAAATGCATTTATCATACTTAGCACTGTTATGCACTGACTAAAGCCAAAAGATTCAGAACCCTGAATCTGTGCTCCAATAACAGACTAAATTACTAATGATACAAATGAACAAAACATAACTCAATCAATTAAAGGACTGCTGCACTGTGACAGATGTATAGCCATTCTTTATTTTTAGATGCTTTTTATACCAATTTTATCTCTGATGTGCTTACTGATACTATAATCTTGCAGAAATACTGCATACAGTATTTTTTAGCACAGTGCTGTTATATGCATCATCACCAGAGATCCAGGCTATGGCTTGGGAATGAGGGGCAGTGGCAGGGAACTGGCATCTCAAGGTTGCTCAGGGGAACAGCGGCAACTGGACTCACATTCTGGTGAGCAAAAAGGGCAGGGGAGCTCTGATTTTCCATGATAAAAAAAAAATACAAACCCCCAAATCAAATGCCAAAATATGTAAGTATTTCGAATATATTTTCTTATAACAACTGAGGCACTCATAGGCTTCCAACTGCTTTAAAATTGTAAATATTATGTTAAAAACGCATCAATATAATGTACCCATGTATGCGCGCATGCGCACACACAGTGTTTCATTTTAAATTGTGGAAAAAACACAGATTCGGGGGTTTTAATCAGAGAATCTGGGATTTTTAAAAAGAGAAAACCAGGATCCCTCACATAGTACGTTATTGAGAAACTGTAATATATACACACATTTCTATTTTATAACTAGGTACGGCAATCTCTCTGCTTAAACTCTCCCCATACTAAGATTTCTAATATCATTTGACAGCTACAAAGTAACCCTCACAAAATCTTTTAACTCCATTCTGGGAAGACAGAAACTTTCTAATTACCATCAAGGATCCTGGTTTTCTCTGTGATCACAATGGTAGAAGGTGACAGGGAGGGAGGAAGAAGGGGAGCACAGGTGATGTATTGAAGGGGAGAATGGGGGGGGGCAAGTGCCCCCTTCAGATTTCTGCACCCACAGATGGCACTTGGCTGCAGGCCGGGTGGAGCCACCTCCGCAGCCCAGCAGGCGGGATGCAGGGCAGGAGAGCAGAGTAGGACCGCAAGACTTCTTGCTGCTGCTGCTCCTGGGAATACTGCACCAGTTGCATCTCCAGCAATGCAAGGACTAACAGACTGGCAGGCACAGGCATAAAAAATTATTTGGGTGCGCTGAGTGTGTGCACATCTTCCCCCGCCGCCCAGCAGGTAAGTCTGTGGGGGAAGAGGTGTGTGTGGAGCGGGGTGCAGATCAAGGTTCCCTGCAGCAAGGGAGAGAGAGGGAGGGGGCAGGGATGAATGGGGCCCTAGCTGGGCCAGGTGGTGGGACAATCCAAGCCCGGGCAGCTCATCCAGTGGTGCAGAGGGCTTTTTGCCACTGTGTGTACATGCCGGTGGAAGTCCGGGAGGCATGTGCACCCCTGATCTGTGCACAGGGTGGAAGTGGCTGCTGCTGTGCTTTGCACCCCACTGTAGCTGCCACGGGAGTGACACAATGCCATGTGCAAGATGTGCACAGCGGCAGAAGCCTCTCACCTTGCCCCTGGACGAGCCACTCAGGCTCCAGCTGTCCCACCACGCGACCCGACCTG